GAGAAGAGGGAGAAGATGGGGGCGAAGAGGAGGAAGTCGACTGACGAGGGGGAGGACGAGTAGGACGGGTCGGCTAGGGACCAGCTTATGACTGGAGAGGGGGGGGGGGGGGGGGGGGGCGCCTGAGAAGCCCAATACGCCTGACCAGCTGTCGACGAGGAATGGACCTACTGGGTTGGTCAAGTAAAACTTTCCAAGAGGCCACCTATTACAGTGGGTGTAGTGCCTGGTCCAATAGGTGACCATGCCCCTGCAGCCGGCTGCGTACGGCGTACAGTGAGCGCTACAGTGTGCCTCAGCACCCCGGCCGGAGAGGATTTCGCCTCCGTACGGCGCTGCACTCGTAGCAGGATCCATCGATGCAATGATGGGCAGCAGGATGTGCTCGTATGCTTTCCATCTTATTGCAAGCCTGGCCAGTCTGGCGCCTCTGGCGCCTCTCGCGCCTTATCCTCCGATATCGCCCAGCGCTCCTCGGAGTTGTTTGGTCAGCAACGATGATGAGACATCTGAGTGGCTGGATCCCATGCCCATCTTTGTCAGCAACTCTCCTTCTCACGTAGAGCCTGGCCTGACGGTGTCCAGCGGATCTCGGACTACGGAGATGCCGTCTACAGGATTGAGACAAGATGGGATCCCCCACTCTCGATGATATTGTTCCCCTCCGATAGAGAAGAAGAAAGAGGAAGAAGAAAAAATTGTGGATTCTCTCTCTCACAGACGCGTACAGCTTACATATACATGTACCCGTAGACGAGACTACCATCGCAGGTAATAAGTATCATGTACAGATTAGTAAAATGCACTATGGGCCCTTTTGACGGAGAAATGACATACCCTCCTCCCTGAAGTCGTAGTCCGTGATGGTAGAGCGGTACGTCCTTTATCAATCAATGCCCGAGCAGTGAACCTGAGCGCCGAGTACTGAACAAGGACACTGCTTTAGCCTCAAGTACGCAGTCCTGCCCCACAGGAGCTCCCTCTCTCCGAGGAAAAACGCATGATCTCATCCCGCGTCGAAAATCATGACAGGCAAACTCCACCATCCTGCAGTCCACCTCCCTCTCTCCCTTGTCTCTCGCCCTCTCCGTTCCCCTCTCCCCCAACTCGATTCGACTCTTGTGCTTCTCGTCCCCATCTTATTCCCCTATGAGACTCGATAATCAACTGTGCCCACCCAGTCTTTTCTTGTTTTTGTCTTGCTTTCCTCTGCCCCCCCCCCCCCCCCCCCCCCCCCCCCCCCCCCCCCCCCCCCCCCCCCCCCCCCCCCCCCCCCCCCCCCGATCGCGCCACAATCATGTCCAGGACGGTCCCCAAGCTCATTGTCTGCGGAGGCAATGGCTTTCTCGGCTCACGCATCTGCAAGAATGGAGTCGCTCGCGGCTGGGACGTCGTTTCGATAAGGTACATACATATGGATCCTCGCTTCACTCGTTCTTTCTTTCCTTCCTTTTTTTTTGTGCGTCCCCATACCACGATGATTGCTCTCCCTTTGAGGAGAACTGAGCTAACCAGATCTCCAGCCGCTCCGGGGAACCAAAGTGGGACAATGTGACGTCGTCACCAACGGCGCCATCATGGTCCAGGAGGGTCACGTGGGAGCGCGCCGACCTGCTACGGCCCTCCGTCTACGCCTCTCTCCTCCGGGGAGCTGACTATGTCGTACATAGCATGGGGATCCTCCTCGAGGCTGACTACAAGGGCGTCGTTTCGGGACGGGAATCCCCCGTCGCCGGTCTGAGCAAGGCTTTTGCCAGCTCGCGCGAGCGCCGGGGCGGGTCGGATCCCCTGTCCAAGGAGGCCGGCGAGGACTTTGCCCCCGCCAGCGCAAACGACCAGTTCTCGTACGAGGTCATGAACCGTGACAGCGCCATCGCCCTGGCCCGGAACGCCGCCGCCGCCGCCGCCGGGGCCGCCGGGGCCACTGCGGGAGAGGGCGAGGACAAGGGCAAGGTCCCGGCCTTCTGCTACGTCTCGGCTGCCGGGGGCGCCCCCGTCCTCCCCCAGCGGTACATCACGACGAAGCGCCAGGCCGAGAACACAATCACCAACGCCTTCCCGTCCATGAGGTCCATTTTCCCCCGTCCGCCCATCATGTACGACACCTCCCGCCCCGTCACCATGGCTTCGGCTGCTATGTGTGGCGGTGGAGCCGCCTTCAACCAACTCACCGGCGGCTTCTTTGGCGGCTTCCTGGGTGCCGCCGGTGCCAAGCCTCTCAAGGTCGACACCGTCGCTGATGCTATTGTTGAGGCCCTCAGTGATGACACCGTCAGCGGCCCCATTGAGATACCCCAGATCGAGGAGCTGGCCAACAAGGCCTGGAGGAAGTCGATGCTGTAACATCACAAAAGTGCATGCACGATGTACGGCTATGTGTTGTTGTTTTTCGTTGCCCGCTCCGATGTAATATATTTATACAGCGTTAGGTTCGGAACAGAAAAAGGTTACCGTCGGGATTCCAAATGCGAAGAGAAAAGGAGTAGACTAGGAATAAGGCTCTCATCTCGCCCCTACCAATGTATAATAGCCGGAAAAAAAAAGGAATAGATATGAAACAGACCCCCCCCACCCAAGATAAGACTTGAGACTTAAACCTTTGTGCCACGCTCGAAGCTGTCGCGAATCTCCTCGGTGTACTTGTCGTAGAAGCGCGAGAGCTTTTGGTTGAACTGTTTGTTCTTCTCGTTGATGTATGTGACGTCGGTGTTGTCGTCGGACTGGGCCATGCGCTCCCTGCGCTTCTTGAGCCTCTGCTCCTCAGCGCGCTCGAGGTCCTTGACGAGGCGGTCCACGGCGGCCTTGTCGGGCCTGCTGTTCTGCGCGAACGACGTCGAGTCGGCTGTCGAGTAGAAAGAACCGTCCTTGTCCACGGCGATGAGCTCCCCCGACTCCGTCTCAACAATGTCCAGCCCGCCTGAGGCCGCCGCCCTCTCCACCAGCGCCATCTTCTCGCGCTCGTACCGCTCCATGTCGGGCTCCAGGTTGCGCAGCTGCCGCTTGTACACTTTGTTGCTCTCCTGACGGTAGTCCTGGAAGGCGTTGCCGTCGCGCCGCCCGTCCTTCTTCTTGACCCGCTTGTCCCACTTCTCACTCTCCTCCACCGTCCAGTCCCAGGCCCGCTTGCGCTCAAAGTCGCCGCCCGCCTCCTCTACCTCGGCCCGCATCAGCTTCTGCGACGCCATCTCCCGCCGCCGGTTCAGCGTCTTCATCTGCGACGGGTCCGACGCCAGCCGCTGCGTCTCCAGCGTCGCCTCCTTCAGGTTCGACTCCGAGCTGTTCTTGGCGCGCGCCTGCAGAGCCTTGAATCGCGCCAGCCGGTCGCTCGCCTTCTGTGCCTTGTTCTCGTCCGTGACCGTCTCTTTCGGCTCCTCCTCTGCTGGCGCTGATACCGGCACGCTGGCCTCTGCAGCCTCCACTACCGGCGCGGACTCCTCCTGTGGCTCTGATGTGATGTTTTCGTCTTCTGTGGACTGCTGCTGCTGCTGCTGTTTTGTCGTCTCTGTGTCGTCGGCTTGTTTAGCTTTCGCCTGCGCCCTGGTTCTGTGCTTCTTGGCTGGGGGCGCCATTGTCGAGATTATTGGCAGTTTTGTGCTTCGCGTGATTCGTCGTATGTGCACGAGCGGTTGCAGAAGAATATACCTGGTGGGGGGGGGGGGTGATCGTGGGATGATTGATCTTGATGGCTTTGGAGTTTGTTGTTGGTAAAGGTCCCGATATCATCAGCCACGGTGAGGCGTGAATAGTGGCGTCACATCAGTCTGTCCGGATCATTGAATAATCCGCTATCCGACTTACACACTCACACCAGGCCTCACGGATTGCCGAGTTGGACATTTGCGAATATAAGACCGAGATTGTTGTGGTATGTTACTACTTGTAGTAGTATGGCTTGGACTATTTCCTTTATTTTACCTGGGAGACTGCGCCTTCCAGAACTACCGACTGGAGTAGTGGGCAGGTAAATCATCATCGGCGTCGTTCCATGTGAGCGTATGGCAGGAGCAACATTGAAGCCAGGAGCAGGGTAAGACACTTGATCGTCATCCCGACGTCGACCCACGTCTTTTGGGATGGGAGCGGGAGCTGGTACGGGTGGTGGCCGTGCCGTGCCAAGTTCAAGATTATACTGATTATACCAAGCCATCAGAACAAGATTTTTAAGCCGAATCCTCGAACTCATGACATGGATGCTATGGCCGAGATACCGACTATGTTTGACTGAACCCCGTCATCCCATCTGGACACTGATGGTTGACATTTGATCAACCTACCGCATACAAATTTACCTGAGAGGCATACTTTTCGTGTATTCATCTGTCAATGATTGGTATTCATACCCTCACAGTCTTGCAAGACATTCAGTCTGGCGGGATATGATGGTTAGAGTTTTTCCACAGGGAAGTATCGAGGATAAAGGTTGGAGGCTACCACGATACATGAGAACATATAAGCAGAGGACAACAAGAGTAACCGTGCTCCTCTTCTCTTCCATTCACCAGGTACATAGGCAGAAATAGTTGTCATGGTACAGGACGCATCGAATCCCTAAAAGGTAAGATTCTCGCCACGAAGCGAGACCGATCCAGAAACCATGGGCCCGAGCACCACGGACGATTGGCGTGAGGCTGTCCAACGATCCACCAAGCCGAGGCAGCACTGGCGCCCAAGTCGAGAGCGGCTGCATCCTCTACGGCCATACTGCACACAGGCATGTATGCACAGCCTCAACTTCGACCTGGAGCCCGACTACGGCTGCCCCAACATCCTGCTGCACCTGCACCGACAACGACGCGACCCGCTGCCAGAGAAGGAGCGACGGCGCATCCTCTCGCGATCCCCCCCTAGATACGTACTCCCGGACCCGGAGGCAGCCCGCCAGGCTCAGGTGAAGCGTAGTCTGGGGCAGAGGCCGGCAAGGCACCCCCTTCCAGGACGAGAGGTGGCGTGTGTAGTGCGGAAGCAGCTCGAATCCAGTCTAGAGCAGGACTTGAGAAGCGAGCACCTTTCCGGCCATGTGGGACGCATGTTCAAGATGACGCTGACGGGCTTCGGCTACACGTTGATGGCCAAGGCCACCCAGGGGCACAAGTCGGAGCTGCTCGGCCACGAGTTGCGGACGTACCGGGACCTTACGGACCAGCAGGGCGTGCGCATACCCGTGTGCCTCGGGGTGATGCGGCTGGAGAGACCGTACGTCGAGAGCTGGATCGACGAGGCCGGCATGCCGCGGTGCGTGGCCCTGACGGACATGATGCTCATGTCGTACGTCGGGCGCGACATCCGGAGCCCCCGCATCCGCGCCGGCCTGCGGCAGCGCGGCAACGATGTCGAGGGCAGGGCCTACATCACGCAGATGGAGCTCTGGCACCTTGGGCTCGACAGCACAGGGTACAACAACCTCACCTGGTGCGAGGAGCTGGGCCGCGTCATGAGGGTCGACTTCGACCACGCCCACGTCGATGCGGTCAAGCGCTGCATCACCTGCAGGTCTGACCGGCTGAACCACAGGCGCCCGCATCCCATCACCGGCAAATTGGCGAGCCGGCTCCCATTTGCAAAGCTGGGGTGGGACGACTGTACGTGGGGGCGCAGCCCGTTTGCCCAGGTCCGCGACGTACGGCCGTCCGATATGGCAATCGAGGCCCTCTTTCTCGCCTAGAAATGATGGAGCAGGAGGTTTAAGAGATGGTCAATGTATGCTGATCGAATGGAAGAGAGAGAGAGAGGGGAGGGGGGGGGGGGCGGTTGGTTCATATGTGTGATGAGAAATGCCATGATGGGAGGAGATGAATCAAGAGGATTCAAGACAGGGATGGGAATTTGTGTTTCTATGCTCCGTATATACCAATCTAGTTGATGACGTGCTTCTCTAAAGTAGAAACATTCCGCTCTCTGCTCGTACACCATCGGCATGGATGTCAGCCCTAGCGGCAGGGCCTAGCAGCCGAAATTTGCGTTGACGAGCTGCACGACGACTCGCGAGATGTATGGACCGATGGGCAGTAACCACATAGCAAGTCTGATCGGCGTGCGTAATGTAGTCGTCGCATCGCTCCTGGACGCTGAGTACGGTACCGACCCGACGGCCTCGTTATCTCGTACTTCCCCTCCCAAGCACATGGCGCATGGCATGACAGTATTTAATCCTGCCCAAGATACAGACAAGGTATGAATGTGTTTTTTTCGGCCAATGGTACAGCTTCCTATGAACCCTCATCCGGTGTCTAGACATCCTGCCTCATCACATACGCACTAGACTATACAAGCGGCGCTCTGTGATCTCGATCTCGGCTAGGGTACGCATGGGACAAGGGGTAAAAACGTGGACATCTTAGGAAGAGGGCAGGCTCCCCAGATAATCCTCCAACACTAGAGAGTTGAGGTCACTAACTGCCCTCATTCTTCTCTCCCCGTTTGCCTGCTACTCGTCATTCAACCCCCCCCCCCCCCCCCCCCC